CACAGCCCCCGCCTGAGGTACCTCTGACCGCTTCCATTGCAGGTACACTGGACATTATTTTATAACCACTCTGCTCTACTCGTTTTTCCTGGGTTGCTTTGGAGTGGATCGATTCTGCCTGGGTCATACCGGCACCGCCGTGGGGAAACTGCTGACGCTCGGAGGACTGGGGATCTGGTGGTTTGTTGATCTGATACTGCTCATCACTGGCGGGGGGGTGGCCCTTTGCTGATGCCCAGCGATGGCAGCAACTGGTGCACTGTGTACTGAAAAGGAGCAGAACTGACCCTAAAAGATGCTATCGGCGTCTCTGCAGGACTGGAGACGGACTCCGCTTGTTCCACAGCATCAGAACAGACTTCTGCCTTGCACAAACATGGGTTTACAGAGCTGTAACTTAACATGCAGAACAATTATTCTTGTTAATTCCTCTGTACAAACCTTGGACACAAAATTGTTCAGTATATATTTTGCTTGATTAAAATATTCTGGATCCCCCACCCCAAGCAGTGACAGTTTAAGAAATCAGATCTTGCAAACACAGGTGATCAAACAAATCTTAATAAAGTCTGGAAGGAGCCGACTCCACGTACTTTCAGTATTAGTAGAGTACATACAGCCACATAGAGATGCAGGCTAGCCTGTGGTTTTCTGTTACTAGACTTTGCAAACCTATAAGGTTGAGTAACCCAATGCGATGTTATAGAGACTCTGTGGCAAAGTGAAGAGCTCTAATTCTACATTATTTGTTTAAAACCCTGTTCACTGGCTGCAGGGGAAGCTGGGTTAGATTTAATAGAAACTGCACCTTTTGGAGAGCGTGACTTTCCACTCTCTTGCAGGTGAGGAAGGCCACAGTGCAGCAAATAAAGTTACTATTCAGGCCTCTCAAAAGAATCAATCTGTGTATTGATGCCCCTGCCATGCTCATATTACAGAAACATCATCTGCAGGACACTGCAACCACTCCAAAGTAGTGTTATTTTAAAATTACATGTGTTATTTTAAAATTACCCGTTTCTCCTCCTATCCCCAGCCCTTCATAGTAAATAAGCGTGCTTTTCAAAACTTATTCCATTGTGCTGCCTATGGCAGCAGGTTGCATTCCCCTTCCCTGCTGCCGGACAGTTGTGTTCTTTAAAACCCATGGCCATTCAGCGGCAACCATTTGTGTTTTACAAAACTGTTAAATACCGGCTTTGCCTCATTAGTGACAGAGGACTTGTTTCCACCCAGAGCCGCAGGGAACGGCCGGGAGCCATCAGAGAGTTGGGAAAAGGCCGGAGCTGCCAAGATGTTGCTCCCATCCACGTGCTAGTCACCCCTCCGGCTCCAGCCCCCGGCACAGGGCATGTGCAGTACCGAAATGAGTGGGAGCCTCAAGCAACCTCGCACCCAAAAGAGGAAGCCCCACCAGATGCAGTCTAAAAACTTACCGAGCTGAATAAAAATGGGAAAAGGAAGCTGCAGCAAGTCACAGGCAGAATCAGACACAAAAATCTGTATATGCAAAAGTCCGGTCACATTTCACGTAAAATACAGCAAACGTACGCTCTCTGTTCTCACAGAGTTCTGCAAACCAAGGAGCCTCCAGCCATTTCCATTTGGCTAATTTCTGCCTGCATTACTTCTGCCTCCAATGGAGCTGCAATGAGGTTCAGTTTGGCTGAGAATTCTGCCTATTCCAGTTTTGGTTTGTGGTTTGTTGCAGCAACTCCTCCTCTCCAGGGAGTGGGGTTTATATCCCATTTAGGTCACAAGTAATCCGAATTTGGCAGCTTCAAATAGGTCTCAGGGCAGTGGGGTGGGGGAAGGCTTCATCATGAAACTACCACATTCTTTGGACCAGTGGAACAACAGGGATGAAAAGCCCACGGAGGGGAAAAAATTATGCAGCGAGCCAGAAAGAAAAAAAAAAAAAATGATCCCATGTGCAAAAGCCCATTGTCATTAACATCTCCCCATGTCCTCAGCCCAGCAGCTGCCAGCTAACAGCAGGACCTCAAATTCCTTCTGTGTACAAGGCTGTCAGGGACTACTCTGAGGAGTACCAGGGGTATTAGTCTGACAGCTTTCCTCCTGCCTGCCTATTCAGAAAGGCAGAGATAGTTGTGACTTCCCTGCCACCACCATGCACTCACCCCCTCTCACACCCAGAACCTACTTGTGTGCAAGGCAGCAGTGCCCGCTTCACAGACAGGCACAAGAAGTGTGCTCAGCCAGTTCTCGCTGGAAAATGTCACATTGAAAGCAAAAATAAAAAGTGCCAAAGTGTTTAAACCAAGAGTTTTACTGAGATACACTTACCCATGGAAGGGCTCAAGATGAGGAATAGCTGGAGCTGTCTTAACATCATCAGCAATAAAATTAAACTTGCATTTCAGGCTGGGAAGATGCACAGTGCCTGGAGACGGCATTCAGTCATGTTCCTTACCAAACACACGCTCTGGGAGTGAGGGATGCTTCTCACCCAGTTAGTCTATGTCCCCTCATTTTCTATCAATGACAAACAAGATCGAAAAGTTTTTCAAAACAGAGGCCACGATGCTCTCTTCGATGCTTTTCCCTGCTAAAGCTGGCTGGGGTGCCGGGGCGTCCGGTGGCGCATGGGACACCATGGGGTGGGCAGCCCAGCCAGCTGCAGCTCCATAGCAGGGTCCTCCAAGGGGTTTCAGCCCTAAATGTGGCACAAGAGACACCAGGCAGGACTTTGGCAGCTCAGTGCAGGATCTCTAAAGCTCTCCCAGCACACCATCACTGCTCCCCTTGCATGTGAGGGGGAGCACCCACCA